TCAAAGTTTTGTAAATGTCTAGCTTTCTCCAGGAAATTAAATCACACAGCAAATAAAAGCTGACTTAACAGAACTGTTTTCCACGTTTATCAACCTAAATTCAAAAAAGAAAAAAGAATCTTAATTTTAAAACTAAGTATACATTTATTCAGCGACTGCGTACTGTAAGGTACAAGGCGCTATTCTAGTCATCGGTGATGGAACAGTCCTATGCTGAAGGAGCTTACATTCCGAAGAATAAAAACTTGACATATGTGTGATGCACTTCAAATCCAACTTAAAAACATTTTCTGAAGGTCCGTGATAAACCACAAGAGAGAAACCAAATAACAAAGGCTATAATTATAATTTTAAAATGAGAGGATATAGTAAGAACTTCCAAATTTTGCTAGACTTTTCACCCTATTCAACAAAATGCTTTGGAGATAATTTTAGGGATAGCTGAGTACTGATCTCAACTTAAAATTGTAGTTATGCTCGTACGCCAAATATATAGGTGACAGTGAGGATCCTGAGTAGTTATTCATTCAGGTATGTATGTTATAAAACCAATAAGATTGACCTATGGACATGGATCAGTAAATATCTTTAGTTAGACCATCTGAAGCAAATATAAATCTTAGATTGGCCTCTTCATCTAGATAAAGAAGAGGCTATGATACATAATGTATCATAGCAAAAACATGATAAAGTTATCTTCAAAAGGCTTTCAGAGTTTTATAATTTCACTGTTCCTTAACTGGAGATTTTAAAAGTAAAAAAACAAAAACAAAAACTCCAACCATATATAAATTTAAGCTTAATAAGAATATTAAGATAAAGGTAGGTGCCTTGTACAAGAAATAATAGTTTGCAATGAATCTAATTAAAACCCATGACAACATGATAAAAATTTAATTATCAAATATAATATAAAATTGCAAAAGAATTCTTGAGAAATATAAAGCTTAATCCAAAATTTCATAAAAATTTTTTTTAATCCTAGGAGTTAGGTCGAGGACAAGAGAGGATAGGCTAATACAGAAGTAAAAGCCTAGTGAAGCTCTTTTTTGAGGGCAATGAGGCAGCAAGTGACATTGTACAAATTAATTTCAGCTGACATCAAAAACAGAGGTTCAAACATGACTGCCAAATTGCAATGTATACTAAAATTTTAACAGTTTAGTACTATAAGAAGTGGCCACTATACTTGTTGGTACTATAAGAATATTTTATAAACAAGCCTGTACTCTCTTAGTAAAAGGAAGAAACAGATATTTACAAGAGTTAATCTGAAGAGAAGTTGATCAGTGCACGCAACATGCTAATGGAAGTCACAAATAATGACAGTAATTGAAGAGCAATCCTTACTGAGTTCCCTAAATGCCAGGTCCTCATAATCACCATCAAGTAGATACTATTGTTATCCCCAATTAAGTAATTTGCTCAAGGTCACAGAACTGATAGGTGACAGCACTGGTCTTTCTGATTCCAGTGGCAAATGTCTTAACCACTCTGTTACAAACAGCCTTCTCAAGAGGAAGAGCCCACCTAAGCACTGCCCAGAAAGAGTACCAGACTCTAAGGAGCTCGGCTGGTCTCAGAGACACTACCATTGCCCTCATGAAGATATGTAAGGTTTTCAGGGCGACCTCCCTTCTCTGATTCTATGCTCACCCAGCGACTTCTGCTTTGCTCTGGCTCCCACGTGGCTTGCCTACAGAGAGACCGTGGCCTGGCCAGTGGGCACACATACTTGGCAACACGGGGCAGTTCCATACCTTGGAGTTAATTACTAAACTTGCATTTTGGTTTTACATATCACTCTCAGTAAGCAGGGGTAACACAGGTCTCAGTTCCTGAGACGTTAGGTTTTTAAGCCTCACCACCTCACTCCAGACTGTGCTGATTTCACGAAGGTCACGCTGCCTTGTGGGAGTGGCTGTGCCCAGCTGACACCCTCTTGTCTTACCACTGCCACCCAGCCTCTGTAACGTATACTTTCCAAATTGGAGAGAAAGTTTTCTAATTCCTCATAAATTCTATAAAGACTTTCACAGCATCTCTTGAAAAAGCGTTGTGAAATTCAGAATGAATGATTCAGAGAATTTCAATGTCTCTCTGCGAGGCTGTTGCTATAATGAACAACAATATTTTCCCATGAGGATAATTTTTCTCCCTTTTTAAAAGTCACTTTCCATAGTTCAAATATGGTGAACTTAGAAAAAAGTTAACGATCTAAGTCAACTAAATTGAAAATAAATATATTAACCTTTCTGTTTTTAGTTTCTTAATGCATTATAAAATAGACACTCAAAAACAAAAAGACTAACGAATAAGCATCATATACCCACACATCCTGCTTCTTAAAATACTACCGATAAGAGTTGAAGCCCCTGGGTATAGCATTATAATGGCATTATTGTGTAACCTTTATAATTATCATTATAGAAGTGAAATAGTATTCACCTGGCAAGAAAAATAAAAACTTTCTCTCCCCCAATTTAAATTTGAGTGGTAGCAAAGCTTATCAGGCAAATCTATATGCTATGAAAATTCTGAGTTGGCTTGATGGAAGAATAGTGCAAGATAACACACATATTAATATCTCGGTATGATTCACATAAGTGATGTATGGACACAAACTCAGAACAGGTGTTGCTGACTATTTCTGAACC